TGAGGAGCGGCGCGCTGCCGCCCCTCAACACAGGGAAGACAGGGAGGAGCAGGCGAGGGAGGGAGAGGAGGGAGGACCCTGGGAAGACCAGAGACAAGGTACCTGGAGTGCATGGCGCGAAGGCGCTGCACAGACGGGTGGCCAAGTCGGTGGTGCCAGAGGACAGTCTCGTGCGCCAGAGAGCGACACGAGCAGGGGGCCGACAGCTGACCTGACGCAGACGCAGACGCAGCGACCTGAGGGGACTCAGTGGTCAGTGTGTACAGGTCCGACCCCGGCTGCCGAGTGAAGGTAGCCAAGTGGCGGCCCGTACGGGCACACGTGCAGTGCGTCACGCGCTCGTAGGCCGGGGTGAACTGGTGAACACCCGCGTCCTGGAGCGCACACCCAGCCACCAGGTTCGTAGAGAACGAGGGGAGGTGGAGACCGGACAGTGTGCCCGACGGGACCGCAGGACAGGGAAGGACAGTGGAGGAGGTCGCCACGACTGGTCCCCCGGAGGGGTCAGCGAGGGAGACAGCAACTGGCCGAGCAAGTGGCTCAAGGGCAGTGCGGTCACGAAAGAAACTCCGAGAAGCACCTGAGTCCAGTGTGAAGGTGTGCAGTGCTGCAGTCGACTCAGTACCAGTGGGCGCAGACGCACAAGCACCTAGAGCAGCAGCCGTACCAGCACCTGAGGTAGCAGACACGCGCGGACCTGAAGCGGCAGACTCACTGGTCCTAATGCCCGGGTCGGGCGGAACACACAGGTACTCGGCACCCTCTCCACTAGTAGACATCACATACATGGCAGTGAGAATAGCATCAAAGTCTAGAGCATAGATATCAATCCCCTTCTTCAGGAGATCAATCCAGCGGGGCAGCTCAGAGGCCTGAGGGAACTGAACACGCCAAGCGTCGTCGAGACGAGAGAAGCAGCGCTGCGCGGTGTGGGCCCTCCCACACGTCTGACCAGCGCGGTCACCAGTGCGGATGACGTACGTGCAGCTAAGCCCACCCCCCCCCCCCCCGTGCTGAGAGTACCACTCACGGGCCTCCTGGAGCGACGGAGTGTGCTGCTGGCTCTGGCCACCGCCAGCGCCTCCACGACCACCACCTCCGCTCCCACCTCCTCGACCACCCCAACCCGTGCCGCCTCCACGTCCACCGCCACCCCCACCACCGCCCCCGCCTCTGCCACCTCCCCCGCCGCTACCGCCACCCCCCCCACCGCCACCACTCACCCCTCCAGCCGCGCCACCACCCCCACCGCCGCCACCGCCCCCACCACCTCCTCCCCCACTGTGACCTCCGCCTCCCTTGCCCCCTTTGCCCTTGCCGCTGCGGCGTCCGCTCGAAGCAGACGCAGTCCCGACCTTCTCAGCACCAAGGAGGTCGACAGCAGCAGCAGAGGCGACAGAGGGAAGAAGGGGGGAAGGAGAACACCCCTCAAAGAACGGGGTGCGGGGGTCGCCACGAGAGGCACCTACAGCGACTATGCTAGCCTCAGCTGCAAGTAGTTCCTTCTCGAGGAGGGCAATGGTGAGCTCAGTAGGGCAGCGAGCTAGGAAGGAATTCCTCACTGCACGCAGAGAGTCAGGGAGGCGGGTGACTAGGTGGTAGAGAGTGAGCCAGAGCGGGGGAGGGTTCTTGGCAAGGAACTCGGCGGGCATGGCAGCACGGAAGCGGGCCTCACTAGTACGGAGGTGGGTGATGAGGTCAGCGACTGTGTGGAAAGAGGACAGGTCGGGGAACAGGTAGGGAAGCGAGAGACGGCCTAGAGCGGCAGAGGCAGGCGAGGAGTAGCGGGCAACGACAGCTTTGTACAGGTCCTGTGCAGTCTTGTGCTGGCCAAAGTGCTCGCGCTCTTCTAGCGGCAGGGAGTTGCGAATAGCAAAGCGAGCGTGGGCGTCACGAGTCTGCCACTGTGAGCGGGTAGAGCTGTCGGCAGTAGCAGCAGGCGCAGGGGCATGGCCTAGGGCGTGATCGTACAGTGAGATGTCTTCCTTGGCAGTGAGCTGTAGGAAAAGGTGCAGGTCATCTAGCCAGGTGTCAAATTTCACTGGACGTCCCTCAGTATCGAAAGCTAGCACGGGAGGACTAGCCATAGTAGCAGTAGCAGCAGTAGCAGTAACAGTAGTAGGTAGTGCGACTCAGGGAGGGCGGCTCGGCGCAGGTAGGGCGGCGCGGCTCGGTTAGGGCGGCGCGGCTCGGTCAGGGCGGCGCGGCTCGGTCAGGGCGGCGCGGCTCGGTGCGGGCGGGGCCGTCGCGGTCGCGTGCGGGGCAGGTAGGGGCGGTGGGTGGGGTCGACGGGGCCAGCGGGGCCTCTAAGGGGCGGTACGCGGGGTCGACGGGGCCCCTAGCAGGCAGCGCGCGGGGCCGACGGGGCCTCTAAGGGGCGGCGACGGGGTCGACGGGGCCTCTAGGGGCGGCGCGCGGGGCCGACGGGGCCTCTAAGGGGCTGCGACGGGGTCGACGGGGCCTCTAGGGGCGGTGCGCAGGGCCGACGGGGCCTCTAAGGGGCTGCGACGGGGCCGTAAGGGGCCTCTAGGGGCGAGCGCGGGGCCGACGGGGTCGCTAAGGGGCGGCGCGCGGGTCGCTAAGGTGCGGGTCGCGGGTCGAAGGGCCTTAGGGGGCCGTGAAGTACGAAGCGCTCTAGGGCGCAGGTAGGTAGGTAGGTAGGTAGGTAGGTAGGTGGGCCCTAAAAAAACGGTCCTAGCGAAGGACCTGCTCTGAAACCATGTTGAAACTAACTGGCAGGAATGAATGATGACTAGCAAGAATGTGTGTACAAATATGCAACCCTAGAGTTTGTGTACCCCCTAAAGGCTAACCCACTGTAGCCTAAACAACAACAACAGATATAATGTTTGACACAAGGTCGTCACTCACCACGTCGGACGTGGTGTTCTACGAGGATATGTCGCTGGCGGAGTGGAAGTCGGCACACGGGCCGGTGTCAGGACGGACGCCGACCACCACGCCCACCGACACCTCGACAGCGACGCTGCCTTTCCTCGCCGAGGTCGGTGAGCTTGCTGCTGAGGACGACGGGGTCGTCCTTTCTCCTTCCCCTGCCCCTCCCCTCGTCGCCGACCTGCGTGGGCTGACTCCGGTGTCGGCCTCCGGCAATGAGGGGAGCAGTGGGACGTCGCCTGTGGCGCCGACCAAGGGCATCGCCGGTGGCCGACAGGACGAGCAGCAAGTCGACGAGCAGCAGGTCGACATGGGAGTGCCGTCGAACTAGATAGGGAAAGAACAGGTGGAGGAGGTGCAGTCGAAAGGGGAGCAGGCAGCAGCAAGGCCGACCAAGGAGCAGTCGGCGACCTGGCAGTCCGCAGGGGAGCTGACCGCAGGAGAGAAATCGGTTGGGACGCCGACCGAGGTGCAGCAGGACGAGGAGGACGGCGGTGAGGATGAAGGGGAGCGGTTGGGCGACGAGGAGCACGCCGACGGTGACATTGAGGAGTGTCAGCCTGGACCACGGCGTACAGGCCGCCTTCGGAGGCCTCCCGACTTCTTCATCCCGGCCGCCTTCACCACGGTGTATGACGTGGTCGACAAGGACGACGACCTGCTGTATGACGATGCCGACGAAGGAGATCCGCAGCCTCATCAGCATGGGCACGTGGGAGCTGGTCGAACGCCCGCCGGGAGTGAACATCATGAAGAACCGGTGGGTGCTGATGACGAAGTACCACATCGACGACACCGTCGAGCGAGAGAAGGCGAGGCTGGTCGTGAAGGGCTTCACGCAGGTGTACGGCACCGACTACGACGAGACGTTCGCGCCGGTGGGCAGCTACGTGACGATGAGGATCTTCCTCAGCATCGTCGCCGTCCTCAACCTCAACCTGATGCAGCTCGACATGAAGAACGCCTTCTTGCAGAGCAAGCTCGACCGGGTGCTGTACATGTCCCAGCCGGACTACTTCAACGACGGAACTGGCCGGGTGTGCAAGCTGCTGAAGAGCCTATACGGGCTGAAGCAGTCGCCGCTGCTATGGTACTTGGCGCTCAACGACGTGCTGGTCGACGCTGGGTGGAAGAAGAGCCAGGTCGACAAGGCCCTCTACTTCAAGGTCGGCGAGGACAAGGTGACCTGCTGGGTGCTGGTCTATATCGACAACCTGCTTGCTGCCAGCAGTAGTGCCGAGATGCTGAAGGAGCTGAAAGAGCTGCTGGAGGCCGCCTTCGAGCTGCGCGAGATCTCGCCAGTGCAGAAGTACCTCGGGCTGGAGATCGTGCGCGACAGGTCGGCGGGGAAGCTGTGGCTGCACCAGCAGGGCTACGCCGACAAGCTGTGTAGGCGCTTCCTCGACCAGGAGCAGACCGGGCGCACCCCCAAGACTCTTTTCTCGGTCGACGCCTACGCCGAGCTCACCTTCGACGACGAGGAGGCATAGGAGCACCAGGAGGAGGAGTACCTGCAGGAGGACGAGGTGGAGGAGGTCGCTGCAGTTCGCGGCGACGACGACGAGGCCGGACATCGCCTTCGCCTGCAGCAAGCTGGGGAGCGGCCTCACGGTGAGGAGCGACCAGCATTGGCGCGAGGTCGACCGTTGCCTCGCCTACCTCGCCAACACGTGTGACACCGCCCTGGAGTTCGGAGGTGGACCTGAGTCGTTGGAGCTGGTCGGCTACGTGGACGCCGACGATGTCAGAATAACTGAAGCAAGGAATGATTGAACTATCACAAAGTTTGGTACAAGTAGGAAACCCTAACTTTGTGTACCCCCTAAGGTGTAACCCACTACAGCCTACACAATATAAACATATAATGTTTGACACACCCCCATAGGCGCAGTGGGAGACAACCACAGGGTCATGAGACCAGTCAAAGCAAAGCAAAGCAAGCTCAGGGTGGATCTCAAGGATACCACACAAATTCTGAGCACAAGCAAGTGGTCACAAGACCAGTTCACATGCAGTTTGATAATATAACAGGAGATACAGTGATCACAGCCTAGCAAGTGTAAGCATGCAGGTATATATATATAGAGATCACAGTACAAACAAAGTCAAGAAGTAAGCAAGTGAGGACCAGCAGGCACAAGGCCTAGAAGAGTACAGAAGCGCTGATGGTCACAAGGCTGAAGCACCTTGGTGAACACATCAGCAGTGTTGGCCTCAGTGGCCACGTAACGCAGACAAAGCTGACCGCGCTGCTGCAGCTCTCGAGCAAGGAAGTACCGCAGGGCGATGTGCTTCGTTCTGTGCTCTAGTCTGTGCTCCTCACACAAGGCAATGGCAGCCTTGTTGTCGACGTACAGCACTGGAGGAGAACGAGGCCGCTCTCCCAAGTCGGTCAGCAGGTAGGTCAGCCAGCGTAGCTCCTGGGCCGCCATGGCTGTGGCGTAGATCTCAGCCTCGCAACTGGAGCTGAGAACAGAAGAAGAGCGTGTAGAACGCCAAGAAACTGAGCCAGAGCCAAGACTGAAGGTATAACCCTGAGACGACCGCTGAGTAGCCTGATCGTCCGCCCAAGAAGCGTCTGAGTGTCCAGTAAGTACAACTCGGTCTCGTCCTCCAAGCACTAGCCCCATGCCCGACGTACTGCACAGGTAGCGCAACACCCTCTTAGCGGCATCCATGTGCTCCTTCCGGTGACGGCCAGGAGCGACATAGCGTGCAAGGATGCTAAGAGGGTATGCAAGGTCAGGCCGAGTGCAGGTCATCAGGTACATGAGGCAGCCCACAAGCTCTGGATACGGGCCACTCGGCTCTACGGACTCATCCGAAGGCAGAGCTGAGAGCGAGTGACCAGTAGGCAGAGGAGTGGACTGAGGCGAGGAGTACGTGAAGCGGAAGCGCTGAAGGATCTGCTGCACCATGTGTGACTGAGTCAAGGTGATGGTGCGCCGTGCTCTGTCCCGGGTGATCCACAAGCCAAGATAGCTTGTCAGTTCACCCAGGTCTATGCACGTGTGTCTCTTCTGCAGCTCCAACTTCACGTGGGCGAGTGCCGCGGTGTCAGCCGTGGCAAAGACCAAGTCGTCGACGTACACGAGGATGTAGAACGGCGGCAGCGAGGTGTCGGTGCGTAGAAACAGCGACGGGTCAGCAGTAGAAGGAGTGAACCCAAGAGCCGCAAGTGTAGTCCTCAGTGTGTCGTGCCACTCACGTGGCGCCTGGCGGAGACCGTAGACCGGTCGCTGGAGCCTCCACTGGGTACCAGGAGGAACCGACCCAGTGAAGCCAGGAGGGCGACGCAGCCAGATCTCCTCGTGCAGGCTGCCCTGCAGGAAAGCAGTGCTGAAGTCAAGTGAGTGAAGCTCGTAGTCGCGCTGAGCGGCTATGTGTAGCAGCACCCGAAGAGTGGTCATCTTCGGGGTGGGGGAGAAGGTCTGGAAGAAGTCTACTCCCTCTCGCTGACTGAAGCCTCGAGCAACGTAGCGCGCCTTGAAGACAGGAGGAGAACCCGGCGGCCGCTTCACCCTGAAAATCCACATGCCACTGACAATGTTCGCCCCAGGTGGGGGAACCTCGTCGACGTAGGTGCCTGTGGACTTCCAGGAAGCCATCTCTGCGTCCATGGCTGTCTGCCACTGAGAGGAGTAGGGACCCTCTATCGCCTCCGCGTAAGAGCGCGGAGTCGGGATGTCTGGTGCATCCGGGTCTCCCTCAGGGGCGACTAGCATGGACACGAGACGGGGCAAAGCAGCAGCAAAGCACTGGAACTCCTCCTGTCTGTCCTCAAGGACGTCCGTGCCAAGAGCACACTCACCCCCGACAGACGGAGGACAGACAGACTCAGACTCAGCAACAAGGCTAGCAGCGTAGTCTAGACGACACCGAGCAGCAAAGTCAACCAACTCAGCGACCAGAGCAGACGCAGCAGAGGACTCAAAGGTAGGGTCAGTGACAACAGTGGCGAGGAGACGTGTGACAGTGGGACTGGCAGCACGACGGGAGTCAGACTCCGGGTCAGGAAGTATGGTAGAGAGGACGCAGGAGGAGACGGCAGAGGGACACGCTGAGGAGCAGTGGAGGGACGCAGAGTCATGTAGTGAGTGCCAGGGACAGGAGGAGGACGCTCACGTGGGACACGACGACCAGTGCGAGCAGTACGAACAGGCGACACAGGACGAGACTCAGGCTCACGACGCTCCGTAAGACCTCCTGTCGGACCAGTGTAAGGGGAGGGTCCAGGGAGAGGCGCGGCAGGCGGTAACTGCGACTGCGACTGGACAGACGAAGGACACTCTAAGGAGGAAGGAGGACAAGGAGGAGGAGTCTGACCAAGAACCTGCTGAAGGAGCGGCACGAAGTAAGGTCGCGGCCGCGCAGCGTCTCCAGAACCAGTAGAGACACCAGTGGCAGGGTCCTCAGTACCAGCAGCAGCTCCACCGACCGGGTCCTCAGCACCAGCAGCAGCTCCAACGTCAGGGTCCTCAGCACCAGCAGCAGCTCCAACGTCTGGGTCCTCAGCACCAGCAGCAGCTCCACCGCCCGGGTCCTCAGCACCAGCAGCAGCTCCAGCGCCCGGCCCCTCAGCACCAGCAGCAGCTCCACCGCCCGGCTCCTCAGCACCAGCAGCAGCTCCACCGCCCGGCTCCTCAGCACCAGCAGCAGCTCCAGCGCCCGGCTCCTCAGCACCAGCAGCAGCTCCAGCGCCCGGCTCCTCAGCACCAGTAGCCCCTGCAGTACCAGGGTCCACAACACCAGGAGCGCCACTCCGAAGACTGCAGCGTCGCGTGTACCACTCTCGGATCTGCTGAAGGGAGGGAAGCTCCCGGGTAGGAGGGGGCTCCAGGAGCACCTCTCCTGAGGCTCCGCACCCCCAGGCTCCGCACCCCCAGGCTCAGTACCCCCAGGCTCAGCACCCCCAGACTCCGCACCCCCAGACTCAGCACCGCCAGGCTCCTCACGCGCAGGCTCAGCACCCCTAGCAGGACGAGAGTCGACAGCTACCTCAACAGGCTCAACCGGGTCTACCTGGGACACACCTGAGGGAGCGGCACCCTGAGGGGGGAGGGGGTCTACCACAGCAGCACCTGGCGCGAGGAAGAGAGGCGGGGGGGGGGAGCGGGGCAGTGCGGTAGGGGAAGAGGCAGTAGTAGGGGACGGACTCGTCAAAAGTGACGTCCTGAGAAGGCAGAACCCGGCGCGAGGTGACGTGGTAAAACTGCCAACCAGGCGCGTCCGGGACAAAGCCAAGGAAGACACAAGGAACAGCGCGAGAGGAGAGCTTGTCCGCGGACGTATCGCGAACAAAAGCTCGGGATCCCCAGACCCGAAAACGCGACGCATCGCCAACCTCTCCCGTCCAACGCAGTGTCGGGGAAGTCTCCGGTAAGGAGACACGGGGCCAGAGGTTGAGCTGATGCGCAGCGTATCGGACAGCAAACGGCCACAGAAAGTGGGGGGCAGCCGCATGGATCAAGGAGGTACGAGCGACCTCCATGACCAAGCCAATGCGGCGCTCAGCAACCCCATTCTACTGTGGAGAGGCCGGAAGCGTGAACGACTGCTCAATGCCGTGCTCCGCACAGTAGGCTGCCAGGAGGTCAGAGGAGAACTCACCACCTCTGTCAGAGTGCAAACGCAGGACAGGAAAGTCCGAGCGGAAACGCTCGCTGAGCTGAAGACGAGCTGTGCGGATCCAAGGGATCAAGACATCAGGGACCTCACCCTTGGTACGCAAGGGGAAGACCGTGGTGTAGCGCGAGTAGTCGTCAACAACAATCAGGAAGTACCTCTCCTGACCCTGTCCACGGACGCGGGCTGGGCCCCACACGTCCAGGTGGAGCGTCTGCAAGGGAGCAGTCGTCGGGGGAAAGGAGGAGGAGTGAGGAGCGGCGCGCTGCCGCCCCTCGACACAGGGAAGACAGGAAGGAGCAGGCGAGGGTGGGAGGGGAGGGAGAACCCTGGGAAGACCAGAGACAAGGTGCCGTTTGTGCATGGCCCGAAGGCGCTGCACAGACGGGTGGCCAAGTCGGTGGTGCCAGAGGACGGTCTCGTGCGCCAGAGAGCGACACGAGCAGGGGGCCGACAGCTGACCTGACGCAGACGCGGACGCGGACGCAGCTACCTGAGGGGACTCAGTGGTCAGTGTGTACAAGTCCGACCCCGGCTGCCGAGTGAAGGTAGCCAGGTGACGGCCCGTCCGAGCACACGTGTAGTGTGTCACGCGCTCGTAGGCAGGGGTGAACTGGTGAACACCCGCGTCCTGGAGCGCACAACCCGCCACCAAGTTCGTAGAGAACGAGGGGAGGTGGAGACCGGACAGTGTGCCCGACGGGACCGCAGGACAGAGAAAGAACAGTGGAGGAGGTCGCAATGACCGGACCCCCTGAGGGGTCAGCGAGGGAGACAGCAACTGGCCGAGCAAGCGGCTCAAGGGCAGTGCGGTCACGAAAGAAACAGCGAGAAGCACCTGAGTCCAGGGTGAAGGTGTGCAGTGCCTCAGTCGACTCAGTACCAGGGGGGACAGACTCACTAGCACCTAGAGCGGCAGCCTCACTGGTCAGAATGCCTGGGTCCGGCGGAACACGCAAGTACTGAGCACCCTCTCCACTAGTAAACATCGCATACATGGCAGTGAGAATAGCATCAAAGTCTAGAGCCCAGATATCAACTCCCTTCCTCTCCAGATCAGCCCAGCGGGGCAGCTCAGCGCCATCAGGGAACTGGGCGCGCCAAGCGTCGTCAAGGCGCGAGAAGCAGCGCTGCGTGGGGTGCGGCCTCCCACACGTCTGACCAGTGCGGTCACCAGTGCGAATGACGTACGTGCAGCTAAAGCCACCCGCCCCCCGGCGCTGCGAATACCACTCACGGGCCTCCTGGAGCGACGGAGTGTGCTGCTGGCTCAGACCACCGCCAGCGCCTCCACGACCACCACCGCCGCCGCCACCTCCTCGACCACCTCCTCCCCTGCCGCTGCCACGACCACCTCCGCCCCCGCTGCCGCCCCCGCCCCTGCCACCGCCCCCGCCGCTGCCGTCACCACCCCCACTGCCGCCACTAGCCTCTCCAGCCCCTCCTCCACTCCCACCGCCTCCACCCCCGCCTCCCCCACCTCCACCTCCACCCTTGCCCCCTCTGTTCCTGCGGCGCCCGCTCGGAGCAGACGCCGTCCCGACCTTCTCAGCACCAAGGAGGTCGACAGCAGAAGCAGAGGCTACAGAGGGGAGAAGGGGGGAAGGGGAACACCCCTCAAAGAAAGGGGTGCGGGGGTCGCCACGAGAGGCACCTACAGCGACGATGCTCGCCTCAGCTGCAAGTAGTTCCTTCTCGAGGAGGGCAATGGTGAGCTCAGTGGGGCAGCGAGCTAGGAAGTGATCCCTGACTGCGCGCAGAGAGTCAGGGAGGCGGGTGACGATGTGGTAGAGAGTGAGCCAGAGCGGGGGGGGGGTTCCTGGCAAGGAACTCATCGGGCATAGTGTTGTGTGATGCAACCATATGCATTCACGTCTGTCTGCCTCCCATCATATGTTCGTGCGTTGCATGCGTGGTGTGAGCGTGTGCAAGAATTTATGTTTTGTGCGGTTTGGATTTCCTGAGTGTGTGTGACTTCCATTTGGCTTGAGCAGATATCTGAAGTGAAGTCTCTGCTCGAGAGCTTTCCGACGAACCAAGAATCGTCGCAATCGGAGTAATTTCAAGAAAGTTACGAACATTGGAGTTCGTATGCTTTCTGTACTTTGGTTGCGGTGACTTTGGAAGTTGTGGGAGTGACTCATTATGGGGTACAGACTTTTGGGGTTGGGAAATTCGAACCCATCACTGTAGATTGCTGCCATGTGGTTGGGAGAAGCCAAACCAGGTTGGCAAGTGTGGCCAAGTGGGTTGAGGTGGATGGCATGAGTTGGGAAAGTGACAAATGTGAAAGTGGGGTTGCCTATGGAGAAGGGAATTGTGTGGCATGGGGTTTCCTTTGGTTGGGGACTCCCTTGGGACCTTCCCTCTCGTCCTCCTCTTCCCTCCCACCTGGTTTAGTGCTACTCTAATGTTCTTTGTGGAACTCTTGTGAACTTGTGAGACTCTTGTGATTGAGTTAAGTTTTCTGTGGCAGCATATCCCCTAGTGCGCCGAAAACCATAACTCGAGATATACTTCACCTTTTGAGGTGATTCAAATTAGGAATTGTAGCCACGGTCTAAAGCAACAACATACTCGAGTTTGACGGAAATCTAACAGTTAGTTTTTCGTCGACGGCGTTTCTTGTGAAATCGCGATTTCTGTCCAGAATTCTAAGCCAACGATTTTGTGATATTTGGGCACCTAATCTTCATAGACTCGGTCCTTAGTCTCTAACAAGTGGTATCAGAGCTGATTGAGGACTTTTTGGGGAGTCTACTGAAGTGTGAAGACCCTCTTAGACCCACCATGGCCTGTGGGCGTGCCTAAGTGGAGTTCTGGAGGTTGGGAGTGACTTCCGCTAAGGGGAAACTCTGCCGAAACTTCGTTGGCACCGACACTTGTGGAAATTGTGTGGGACGTCGGTGTGGACAGCAAAAGGGGGGAGCTGAAACCTCTGATTGGGAGCAGAGGAGATGAGTGGAGAAGCAGCTGAGAAGAAGAGTGAACCGCCACCGTCCAAGATCGAGGCTTTGGACGGCTCCAACTACGAGGAATGGAGCGGGCGGATGCGGAGCGCCTTCAAGCGCTACAAGCTGCTGAAACTTGCGATGGGAGAAGAGAAGATGCCGGAGGAAGGTGATGCCCGCGACCGATGGATTGAGCGGAGCGCGGTGCTGTACGACTTGATTCTACAGTCGGTCAACAACGACATGTTCCAGCACATCAAAGACCTAGTGGAGCTGGACGACTCGGGGCCGAAGGCGTGGAAGCTACTATGCGATGTGGTTCAGCCCAACACGCTGCCGATGGTGATTGTGTTGGAGAAGGAGCTGGCTGCCCTCTCCATGAAGCCGGGAGACGATGTGAAGCCGGTACTTGACAAGATCAAAGACACCTATACGAGGATGGTAGCGACGGGCAGCAAGGTGTCGGAGATGCAGCAGTGCACCAAGATCATCTCGGTGCTCGACAACTCATGGGACAACCTCATCCCCACCCTCAACGTTCAGCAGGACAAGTGGACGCCTGAGTGGCTACGGCAGCAGATCCTGCAGGAGGACTTCCGCAGGCGCCACACGGGAGGTGGTACTGCCAACAAAACTGCTGAAGGGTATGGAGCTGCAGGAGGCAGCAGAGGAAGAGGGGGAGGGAGAGGCCGAGGCCGTGGGAGAGGCTTTGGCAGAGGGAGAGGCCGAGGTGACTACAACGAGGGGCATGGGAGCTCTAGTGGCAGGGGGAGCACCCGAATGGAGGGTGCGTGCTGGTACTGCATGAAAGCTGGACACCCGTGGTTCAAGTGTTTCAGCCGGCCTGAGGGATGGGCGCCTCCAGGCATGAAGCCGCCAAGTGGTGAACGCGCACGAGGTGGTGCTGTGCAAGGTTCAGGTGCACAAGGTGATGGTGCACAAGGTAAAGCTGACCCTGGGCTGTTCCTCATGGTTGAGGAAGTGAAAGGGAGTGAGGATGATGTGGGTTCAGTTGGGAAGGTTGTGATGCACCCCCTCACTCACTGGGTGATAGACTCAGGTTGCACGAGTCACATGACTCCGCGGGCAGATTTGCTCGATGAGGTAAAGCCCCCTGGGAAGATCAAATTTGTGGCTGCCGCTTCAGGTGCTTTGCTCCCTGTGATTGGTGTGGGGAATGCCAAGGTGATGGGAGCCAATGGGGGACTTGTGGGACTTGGGAATGTCCTGTTGGTTGAAGAATTATCCGCTAACCTCCTCTCTGTGCGCCGGCTGCAGAAAAGCAAGGCCAAAGTTACGTTCGGCCCAACCAGCTGCCGTGCAAAGCTTGGGAAGTTGCTGCTGTGGGATTTGGAGGAGAAGAGCAGCTGCATCAAGGACCTGTGGCAGCTGCCCATTATCCCTTGGAACGGGAAACCACCAGCAACGGCAAAGGCAGCGGCAGCGGCTAAGGCAACTGCGGGAGGAGAGGTGACTGCACCAACTGCTGGGGCCCTGGATGCAGTCAAGAAGGTGCAGCATCCACGGCAGCCTCATGGTGAGGTGCTTGCTGGTGTGGATGCAACGGCTGCATGGGCAAAGGCTTCATCTGGGAGTGGTGAGGCCGATTGGGAGACGTGGCACGAGAGACAGTGCCACATCAACATACCGATGCTGCAGAAGCTAGTGAAGGATGGGAGTTTGAAGGGGCTAGAGGTGAAGGGGGCAGGGAAGGAGATTGGGAGCTGCCCTACGTGCATTGAGACGAAATTCACAAAGTTTCCCTTCAGCAGCAGCACGGGACCAGCCAAGGCGCCACTCGCGCTTGTGCACATGGACGTGGTGGGCCCCACGAGGGCCACTTCGCTCTCGGGCAGCCGCTACTTCTTGACCATCGTGGACGACCACACGCGAGCGGTGTGGGTGTACCCTCTCAAAACAAAAGGGGACGTGGCAGCGGCTGTTCTCAAGGAGTGGATGCCGAGAGCTCAAAGGGAGAGCGGACACAAAGTGAAGGTGATCCGCACTGACAACGGAGGAGAGTTCATTGGCGCTGATTTTGAGGCGGTGCTGAAGAAGAAGGGGATCCAGCATCAGCTCACAGTGCCCTACAACCCTCAGCAGAATGGCGTGGCTGAGCGGTTCAACCGGACCCTGCAGGAAGGTGCCCGCACTCTACTTGGGCGTGCAGGGCTGCCGGATCCGTTTTGGGTGACTGCACTACGGCAGGTGGTTGTGGTGAAGAACAGGGTACTGGCGACCGTGGGGGACAAGCAGTGGATCCCCTACACCAAGTGGTATAAGAGTGCACCAGCAGTCAATATGCTGAGAGCTTATGGCTGCATGGTGGTGTTTCATGTGCCGAAGGAGAAGAGGGGAAAGTTGGAAGCTTCTGGGAGATGGGGTGTGCATTTGGGACTTGCTAAGGATCACAAGGGCTGGCTGATATGGGACTTGACCAGCCAGCAGCTGACTGTGTCGAGGGATGTGAAGTTCCTCGAGTCTCTATACTACAAGGAGTGGAAGCAGCAGCAGCAGAAGCTTCCTACGACACCGCTGATCATTGAGGCCGATGAGGTGCAGCGGCCTTCAAGGCAGGTGGAGGTCTCCGTGTCGGGGGAGGAGATCTCTGGGGTGACTGAGGATGGGGGAGAACCTGAGGTGGAGGAGCAGCAGCAGCAGCAGCAGCAGCAGCAGCAGCAGCAGGAGCAGCAGCAGCAGCAGCAGCAGCAGCAGCAGCAGCAGCAGCAGCAGCAGCAGCAGCCGCAGCAGCAGCAGCAGCAGCAGCAGCAAGGTGCTCCACAAGGTGCTGCACGTTCGGGTGAACGTCCTAGGAGGGATGTGCGCCCTCCTAACCGCCTGACCTACCCGAGCTTTGGGAAGCCAAAGGTGGTGCGGGCTGGGAGTGTGGCTGAGCAGTGTGATGAGGAGGAGATAGCGCACTGCTACTGGGCGGCCGTCCTAGAGCCCAAGACGCTTACCGAGGCCTTGAGTGGGCCCGATGCTGAGAAGTGGAAGCAGAGTGTGAAGGAGGAGTATGACTCTCTGCTGGAGAATGACACATGGGAGCTGTGTGAGCTGCCTCCTGGGAAGAAGGCAATTTCATCGAAGCTGATTTTCAGGCACAAGTACGGACCTGATGGGGAGCTGACCCGCTACAAGTCAAGGCTTGTGGCTAAGGGGTTCCAGCAGACAAAGGGGAAGGATTTCAACGAGCTCTACGCTTTTGTGGGAAAAGGGACAACACTGAGAGTGTCACTGGCAATGGCTGCATATCGTGGCGGGTGAAGCAGATGGACATCACCACCGCCTTCCTCAATGGGATCATTTTGGAGGAGCTCTTCATGTTACAGCCTGAGGGGTTGGATGATGGGAGCGGCAGGGTGTGCAGGCTGAAGAAGGCCATCTATGGCCTGAAGCAGGCTCCTCGTGCATGGTACCACAAGCTGGAGGAGACACTGCTGGCTGGGGGTTTCAAGAAGAGTGAGTGCGACCACAGCCTGTTCCTGCTGCAAGAGAAGGAGCAGTTCCTCATGCTCCTGGTGTACGTGGACGACATCCTGCTCTTCTCAGAGTCGTCTGCAATGATTGAACGTGTGGAGGAGATGCTGGAGATGCAGTTCAAGTGCTCGAAGATGGGAGATGTGAAGTATTACTTGGGGATGCATGTGGAGAGGGACCTCGACAAGGGAGTGTTGAGGTTGCACCAGAGGAAGTACTGTGAGGGGCTGGCCGAGAAGTATGGGCTGCAAGATGGAGGGAAGCCAGCCACCCCACTGCCTTCAGGGTTCACTGTGGAGCCCTGTGCTGATGAGGAGGTGGTGGGAGAGAGTGACAGGAAGCTGTTTCATTCCATGGTTGGGGCGCTCAACTATGCGGCCAACCACACGCGGCCTGATATTGCC